TGTTGGGTTCTGGGGATTTTTGGTACCGTTCTTGTGACATTCTTGGACCCCACGGGGTGAGATCTTGCGTGGAGCCCCAGATCGAGGGAGATTATCAGTGGTCTTGTATGTCTTCCATTTTCTAATAATTGCTCCCACAGTTGATTTCTTCACACCAAGCTGCTTACCTATTGCAGATTCAGTCTTCCCAGCCTGGTGCAGGTCTACTATTTTGTTTCCGGTGTCCTTTGACAGCTCTTTGGTCTTGGCCATAGTGGAGTTTGGAGTGTGACTGTTTGAGGTTGTGGACAGGTGTCTTTTATACTGATAACGAGTTCAAACAGGTGCCATTAATACAGTTAACAAGTGGAGGACAGAGGAGGCTCTTAAAGAAGAAGTTACAGGTCTGTGAGAGCCAGAACTCTTGTTTGTTTGTAGGTGACCAAATACTTATTTTCCACCATAATTTGCAAATAAATTCTTTAAAAATCAGACAATGTGATTTTCTGGATTTTTTTTTTTTCTCATTCTGTCTCTCATAGTTGAGGTATACCTAGGATGAAAACTACAGGCGTCTCTCATCTTTTTAAGTGGGAGAACTTGCACAATTGGTGGCTGACTAAATACTTTTTTGCCCCACTGTATATGTGAAAGTCCCGCACTCCAGCTTTAAACTGTGATGATGTGTCAATGTTGTGTTCACAACTGGTGTCCTTTAATTTTAGGTTTAAGAGGATGCGAAAGTGCAGTAAAATGGAACATTTAGTCTGTGATTGTTCACCTTCTTGTGTTTCAGCTAATCAAGTTATTCGATGACAGATGGCTGTGCCTCTGTTCCCCTGTAACACTTTGAGACAATGTTTTTAAAACCTGGATTAAAGCAACAGGGAGTCTGAGAGAGAACGGAGAGGCAGATGACCGACCAGAAAGGAGTCAGGGATGGAGGATCTGCCAGTTACGAAAAGAGAAACTCGTGCAACAGGTGTTCAAAAGGAGGATTCTCCTTTGTAGGATGGTCAGAGACAATCTTGATAGGAAAGTAGTACAGAGCAGAAAACAGAACCACGCAGCAGACACGCAGAACCAAAGCCAACCCCCCGAGGAACCTGCAGCCCCCGAGGAACCTGCAGCCCCAGAACGAGCCCGGAGCCCCGAGAGAGTTCAACCCGAGAGCCAAGAGCCGACCGAGAGGCAGCTCGATTTACTGCTCTGGCAAAAACTCAACTCAAATGGAGAACCAGGAAGCTTGTGCCAGGTTAGTACTCAACGTTTGCTCACTGTGGCTTTACCGCTCTGGGATAATGATTTTTAAACAGTGCACAGATGGCTGGAGAGAGATAAAGTCCTAAATCAAACAGCAGGATTTCATTATTAAAGGTAACATCAAAGAGGGGAAAGAATACAGATTTGTCTGTAGTATTAGGGCAAAAGCACAAGTATAAAGAAATAAGTAAAATTACTAATTTAGCAAAATTACTTCAAAATTATATGTATTATAATTTTGTTTTTTTATTGTTCTGATGAATTAATAATGGTAATAATAATAATAATGGGTTTCATTTATAAAGCACTTTATATTTGACTTCTAATCCCGAAGTGCTACAAGCAGTGAGCATGAACAGTGATGAATGTATATAATACATTCATCACTATCATTTTTCAGCTGGTAAAGAAGAAGCAGGTTTTAACTCCTGGCGGCTAAATGTTATTATTATTTTATGATAACATATCTAATTTCTTTTATGAACTATTTATCAACTGAACCAAAAGTGAATAAAGCTGATATTATGGCGGTATGCATTCTAAAATTAGTTCTAGTCAAAGACTATGAAACTATGAAACAATGGTAAAAACGATACAGTATACTGCTGGAAAATCAAAACCTGATGTTTCTACTTTGTTTCACACAAATGGAGCTGCTGCATTGAATTGGCATTTGATAATCAGGAGTTAAAAAACAAACACACAAACCCTCTGATGTTTTTGCTATCTCATCGTCTGGAATTATTTTCAACCGGAGTTTATCTTTGGACTTTGAATGTTGATATGGAAACTTTTCAGCTTCTTTTTTGTCGCTTTACAGCGCTGTCTAAAAACAGGACCTCTAATCTACATGTTTTCAGTTACCATGCGTCTAAAATACTGCACTGTAATTTATTGTTTTTAGTATTATTAATATAACACAAGTATGATTATTCTTAAAATATAGCATCTTTCAAAAATAAATATTAAAGTATGTCCATTAGTAAACTTTGATAGGATGGCAGAAACTGATAAACCTAGTTAACCTATCACTGATTGTACTGTTAATACACAAACTACTTCAAATCCATTTTAGTTTCTGAAACACCGCAAAGAGTTTTCTGCTTTATTGTCTTTCGTCTGTGACTAAAAACTATTTTGGCATTGACTTCAAACATGTCTACTTCTGTAGCCACTCCCTGGAGCGGATGCTGAGAGCTTGCCCTCACACCTCCGTCCATTCAGCAGCGCAGCAGAGTACAGATTAGTCAAACACACCTACCAGCAGCTCCGACACAGCGGCTACTACTGGGGATCAATGCCCATGGAGGAGGCACACGCAATACTCACACGGGCCCCACTCGGTACCTTCCTCATCAGGTAGCCTACCTCTTACATCTGACAGTTTTAGTGTTGTTTCATCAGTTCAGCGTTGTTTTTTCAGCAACTTTTTATGCCGTTGTGTTGCTCAGGTGTTAGTTTAACAAGTGGATTTACATCTAAATGGGATTTAGTTAGTTTAAATAAGGATTAATTTAAAGCAAATGTAGCCTGCATATTATGTTGAATGTATATATATTTTGATTTCAGCTGCATTTATCATAACTTTTGATATATCCAGTTCAGTCTTATTTTAACATTAACAATTGTGTTCACTTGACATATCTCTGTTTCGATATAGAAGTTCAAAATTCTTAGAAGAACAAAATTAAACATGCATTTTGATATACTGTCATCCTGTGATTTCCTGTACTACATGTCATATAACAACACGGTAAGAGTAAACAGCATTAAGTGCCCACAAAGTGACTGTATGTATGCTGCTGTGTTGCAGAGACAGCGGCCAGACGGATGTTTTCTTTACTCTCAGCTACAAAAGTGACGACGGCCCGACGAGTGTCCGTGTCCAGCTGAACCACCTGATGTTCAGTCTCTACGGCAGCACCAGGACTTTTGATTCATTCTTTGCTCTGCTCACTTTTTACACCGGCTCATCCTGTAAACTGACCTTTCCTTATCGTAAGCAGCGTCCGGAGCACCTGACGCAGATGTGCAGGAGGGCTGTGATAGGCTTATATGGAGTAAAACATTTAAGCACCTTACCGGGACTCAGTCCACAACTTAAAAACTATGTTCTGTCGTACCCCTGTTGTATATAGATGATGTTTATGTTGTAAGGTAAACAAATATTCTGTATTTGTGTTATTTTCAATTTGATAAATAAGACAAATACAGCCTAAGTATTTTATCTGCAAATTGTTAAAAGGTTATTTGCACACATTTTCATTTATGCATTTTACAATGTACTAGTAGTTCATATTTTTTCAAGTTTTTCCTCATTTACATTCAACAAATCCTGTGTAAAGGGCCGTCCACACAAAGAACAATATCTATTACAATAACTATTTATATCCTGTATTAAAAAATCAAACAATGTGCCGCCGTATAGCTTAGTTGGTAGAGTTGGCCCCCTGTGGAGGACCCAGGTTCAAAGTCCATTTCGCTTATCAACGCTTGTGTGTCTCAAACATAACTTGAAATATATTATTTTTTATTTAACAAGAGCAAGAAGGAAATTCAAGTACTTGAATCTGTCATTTCTGAACAGGAAAAAAAACTGAAGATGTGATGATTATGTAGCTCGTTATGTAGATGCAGGTTATTTGTGAATAAGTAGGCCTCATATATCTTGTTAACATAATGGCATGCTTTTTTACCTCAAAGTAAGCTTTGCGTTACTGTTATCGAGAATGTTATCGTTGATCAGTGCAGATGCTCGCATCGTTGTTTTATAGTTGTAGTTGTGGTTGTTGTTGTGGCTGGCCTAAACTGCTTCAATGATACACCAGTTGTAACATCCATAAAAATGTACAAGTGCTTGTGCTTCTGTTTAAAGCTACATTAATTGATGTTTGGCCACTAGGGGGCAAAAAACATCAATAGAAGCCAACATGTTACCATCGTAATATGTTATGGCTGAACAATTAGCAAACCGTTATTTGCTAACAGCCCCCTGAGGACTAAGATGTTAACAACTTCTCTTTTTCAACTTGATTTGAACAGAAGCCACGAGCCGCCATGATTGCAATTATGCTTTTTAATCCTGTTATCTCGCAGTTGTGAGTCAATTATCTCGTTATGTCAGGACAAAGGAGTATTTTTCTTTTCATAATGTGTTAATTATCTCATTATCTTAGGAAAATAACAAGTAGGTTTCTCTCGATAATTGGACACATAGGAAGCAATAGAGTTTTTTTGGAAGTTATTGATGAATCACAAAATTAAAGTATATAACGTAGCCCATCTTCTAATCGGGCTAATTTGCACGTTTAATATAGTAGACAGTAAACAATATCAGCTGGGTTACGTCTTCTGAATATCATTTATGTTATACAGGCAACTTTTTGATCCCATTTAGTATCCAGCAACTCCTAAATAGTATCTGTGTTTTTGCTAACTTTTTACTAGTGAGTTACTGGCTTCTAAGTTGGTGTTAATGAGAGCACCAGAGACTCAATAAGAAAGTAAGTCAAACAGAAACAATCTGCTATAATACCTCATTCACACCAACGCAACTCCGGTTCAAGCTCCGTGCTAGAGCTTTTCAGGTTCAGAACCGGTTTATCTCCGGCTCTTTTCACACTGCCCAAAGTCCGACTGGTGCTGCGTCATCGTTTGCGTCATGACGTAACCGGGTCATTCCTAGCATTCGGTGCCATTTCAGCTAGGGTATTCAAAAATAAAAAACATAATTTTCCATGTTTTTTTTTTATTTAATCTGAATGATGGCTTGTTAAAGTATAAGAAAAATATTTTGGTCAAGCTCAGGATATTATGCTTAAAAATTTTTTTTTTTACCATCCCGTTACTGTGTGTGCACCCTGTTACTGTGAAAAATAGTAACAGGGTGGACGGTAACAGGTTGGACATTTTATGCTAAACTTGGCTATTGCTACATGTGTTATGATAATCAAGCTAGCACTTGGTGACAACAGAAACATATATTTGATAGATATATTTACCATATTTTCTAAATGTAAAACAAATGATCAGTTCCACCAGAAATGAGCATAACAGGGTGGACATTTTATGCTTTACCGCAATAGTTAAGTTCTTTAAAACATTAGAAAAACGTTGAAGGAAGAACGCATTCACTCTGCTTCTTGAAGATTATTTCCCACTCAAAATGTATCCTTCTTCTTCTTGAGTCATACAAATAGTAGAATAGTAAAGGGACGTGTCCAGAGGGATTCAAATCAGAGTAACAGGGGGGACATTCAAACAGGGGACACACACTTTATTTTCAATACAAATGAATTAATAACAACAATTTCAATTTGGTGAGGAATATTAGCAAAAGGGTCATACAACACTCACAAAAATGTAGAATTTGTTTGTATTTCTTTGATTTCTTTTTGTATATCTGTTACAGAAGTTGAGCAAACATGATTGGGGACACAGCAATTTGGCCTACTTGTTCTAAAATCAGAGTAATTATTTAGAATTTTTAATATCCTGGCTAAATAA